TTGTTACTGAACTGAATATTGACATATTCCAACTCCAAGGGTTTCTCCCTCCAGACAGACAGAGAGGCTGCATGTCAGACTATTTTAACAAGAGTGCTTTCTCTCTCTCTCTCAGGAAGCGGCGTTTAGAAAGCAGACAGGATTGGGTTAACAGTTATTTACTGTAAATAGCAGGTCTTTCGCCGAAATATGTAAAGAATCAGTAAAGTGTGAAAAGAAAGTTCTGTGGGGTTGGAACACTTTGATGTTTCTTCGTAAGACCCGCAAGCTTCAGCCACAAGCGAGCAAGTCTTGTTTTGTTTCAGGAAATAGCTCCTTTGGTTGTCAGTAACAATATCTTTGCTTTAAGTACATTGAGATGCAAAAATCTGAGACACCAGTGAAAATATTTCACTATTCTACTTCAACTTTTTCAGGAGAAATTATAATATCAGCATAATAACCTGAGAGAAACGTTGCCTTATTTCATGGTTTGTATCTCTTATGCTTTATTGAGAGTAGCATTCAATCTGATGATCATGTTCTCCCGCATGATTTGAGAAGAATCCAAAGAATCCATCTGACCATCTAAGAGAGTTCACATGACCAATGTCACAAATAATGTCGATTTACTCACTTGATTAGTTGCCTCGAAATGCAGACCTGAATCTGAAAAATGTCTTATTCATTTTACATTACATTTCATAGTACAAAATGTACCCAATTACTAAAAAATGTGTGTATTTCCAAGATTAAATTCGATTAAATTTCCAAATATGGTATCAGAACCCCATTGTACAGTATATTTGATGTTAAAGCTTATTACAGAATTATTATAACATAACTTACAAACGTAATTATTACTGACATACAGTACCTGTAGAGTACAAGAGAGTTAAAAATGTTACATAAAAAAATGTATCCATATATTTTTTCTAAAAACAACAACAAATTTCTCCTGAAATTTCTTCGCAGGCTGCTGGCCCTTTAAGAAGATAAGGACGCTGAACACCTCCCCCTGTTGGAGGCTGACAGCGCTGTGAACTTGACCTGAGCTGACCCTCTTTCTCCCACCCCTCCCAAATTTCCGCTGCCAGAGCACTGGAGCACATTCCAGCTCCTCAGTGTTTACTGAACATGTGTGTGTGTGCGTATGTGCGCGTGCACGTGTGTGTTTGCTGCATCTTCCTGCCTGGCTGACTAATAGTGCATTCTCACATGTAAAACAAATGGATAGAGAGTCTAGCGCCTCTTTGTTCACCCGAACACGAAGGGTAGGATGCCGGGGCCTGGAGACTGAGCCACGGCTTGATATCTGGCACAGATGGCTCCAGTGTCACCAAACCAACCGTGTCTTCTGGTTCGCTCAAACCACCATCCTGTTTGTTTTGACAAGTGAAATATTTATTGTCCCAGCAAAACCTTCAGAGCTTGAGAGTTATTAAAAAAAAAGATCAGAGGAGGACTGGGGCACAAGCCAGGTCATGTGACCCTGCTGGAAACTGATACGGCTTAAACTGAGAGCTAGATAAATCGTATATCTCTAATGAGGCTGGTAGCCTAATCTTCCAAAAATGTAATTAATTTGATCATCTTTCAGGGGAGCCGTTTCACCCCGAGAGACTTGCGGTTAAACCGTTTTGCAAAGCGAATAGTCTGTTGAATGAGAGAAGGAGGGCAGTAAGAGTAATGGCCACTGTTTCTCGATCTGGCCGCCATGCGGGACCCCCGCCCCACCCTGCTCTTCGCTCCATTAGCAAAGATACTGAAACAGAGCTGAAAGTTCCAGCGCGCGTGCGCGCACACACACACACACACACACACTCTAATACACACAGCTGCTGCTGCAGAAACACTGCCGGCCCTGTTCAACTTCACCGAGATGAATGGAATTTGAGCATGCCTTGCAAGTGAAAGATGGCCCTGTGCCTTTAAGCGCAAATGCTGACTGTATGCCTCTTTCACTCTCGCCTTTCTTTCAGCCACTCCCCCTTTTTCTTTTCCTTGCACTCCCTCTCCTTCTCTCTCTCTCTGTGGTGCTGCCATTAGTAGAAGTGAGGGTGAACGGACAGTTTCTTATCGGACTGTTTACAACAAGGAGTTTGTAGGCTATTAGGCAGGTCAGGTGACATGCAGGCTGCCTGTCTGACCCAGACAACTGAGGGTGAAGGTCGCCTGAGGGGGCGGAGAGAAAAAAGGGGCGGAAAAGAGAAAGAACGAGAGAGTAAGGGAGTGAAAGACAGAAATAAAAGGCAGGCTGCAACCGTAGATTTTCAAATGCTTGGCAAGCATTTCTATCCTTCTACAGCTGATGTGATTTTATTTTTGTACAACAGATGACTAATAAAAGTTTTTAGTTCCTTAAAGAGCTAAAGAATCTAAATTTTATGTGTCGGCACACAACAAGCAGACTGGAACAGAATATGCGAATGGAATGGTGTGACATCAATTTAATAAATAAACTACCGTTTTAAAGATTTAGATTTATATAAGTATATAAGTAAATGCTGTTATTTTGAACTTTCTATTCATCAAAGAATACTAGGAAAAAAACACTGAAATAAATGTAATATGGTTTCCAGAAAAGTACTAAGCAGAACAACTGATTTCCACATTAATAAAAAGTTACTTGAGCACCAAATCAGCTTATTAGAATGATTCCTGAAGGATCACGTGACACTGAAGGCTGCAGAAAATTCAGCTTTGCCATAACAGGAATAAATTACATTTTAAAATATATTATAATTTGGGATTTAATGATTGCAGCCTTGGGAGAGACTTCTTTTGAGCGATTCTGTACTCAAGTCTGAATCACTGCAAACATAAGTGAAGTGATACAAATGGTAAAAAGTTGTTGGACTGTTTATCAGTCTCATATTTTTGAGGACTGGAACTAACTGCAGTATAAAGAGTTTTGAGAGTCAATCAATTCCATTTACATGTCTAATTGGTAAGCATATCTGCTAAATGAATAATAAGGTACAAAACGTAAAACTCTTCTGTTTATATAGATTTAGAGTACAATGAAAAATAGAATACACAATTCCAACACCATTGAGACCTAGTAATTTAATAAAAGTTTGGAACACAATCTAGCACAGAGGGAATTTGACAGAGATGCTATCGCAACATTATCACAACTTAGAACGTTGAGTCACTCTAACTGCTGCTGCACTGAACACACACACACACACACACACTTTATTATCCTGTCACATTGACCACTTAACTGAACTTATATGCATTGCAGATCCTCAACATACACACACCATGCGGTCACAGAGACTGAGCATCTTATACTTCTACAGAATTATTTGTGAATGACAGTGAATGGTTTTACTTTAAAGTTCAGTTTATAACTGCTGCTATTTAGTGTCTATCAACTGTGGGACTGTGGCATGCTGTTAATTACCACAGAAAATAATGTTGACTCATGCTCAACTCATACTGGTTTTCACAAACAAAAGGAAAATGCATGTTCAGTTATATGCAACGGAAGCTTAGGGGGAGCATAAATGTGAAGGTTGTCGTTGACTTCAAGAAATTTGCAGTAAAAATGGTTGTTGATTAAGCCGTTAAATTGCCTGAATCTTCTTTCTGAGGTCTGACTACTTTTCTAGGTGGATGAACTTCTGGTTACGGCTTATCAGTTTGAGTCCAGTGGCTGGAGTTTGCTTTATTTTGGAGTTTTTTGCTATATTATTTCCAGGTTGCTTACTGGTATCCTCATGCAGACACCAAGTTACTAAGTTTACTTTCAGTTTATTAAAGTTAATTTTAAATGTATACATTTATTACCTTCATATATTTGAAACAATGTGCAAGGTTGCTTATTGGGCTTTAACTGTAAGCATATTATTAAGTTTTTCTTAAACGATTAAATTAGTAAGATTTGTTTTCTAAATGGTCTCTTATGCAAACCAATGCTGCATTTATTTAAAATATACAGTACAAACAGTAATATTTTGAAATATTACTACAAATTTAAAATCATGTTTTCTCTTTGAACACGTTCTAAAAAGGAATTTATTTCTATGACGGGAAAGCTGAATTTTCAGCAGCCATTACTTCAGTCTTCATTGTCACACGATGCTTCAGAAATCATTCCTAATATGCTGATTTTGTGCTCAATCAACATGTATTATTAGTAAAGCTGAAAACAGTTGTGCAGCATAATATTTCTGTGGAAACCATGATACAGTTTTTATGATTATTTGAATAAAAATATTTTTTTTTAAACAGCATTTGTCTGTTTTTTAACATTATAAATGTATTTACTGTCACTTTTGATCAATTTAATAAGTCCATGCTGAATAAAAGTATTCGTACAGACTGCAAAGTTTTGAATGACAGTGTACCTAAAAATATAGAAATTCTGTGTTTATTTGAAGTTTATCTCTGCATATGTATCCTTTGAATACCAACAAAATGATTATGGTTTCATACTTCAGCAGAGACAACAAGAAAATGAATACCGCGTTAAATGGTACATCAGCTCATGTATCCCAACAGCTTTCAAAAAAGTTTTATTTCAACAAAAAACATTAAGTAACTTGAAACACATCTACCTGCCTGTCAGAGCAGACCCACTTATTTTAAACGATTTACAGTGTTTGGCACTGCTTATGTTTTAAACTCCCTTTCAGTCTCTCTGATTAAAACCAACTTCCCGTCAGTGATTCTGACAGCACAGCTCTGCTTTGAAAAAGTCGACAAGTGCGGTGCCTCACGGTGTATATTCTGTGGCCTGCAAGCTGAAATACTGGCGCTCCTGGTACCAAGCAGCACAGGATGATGAGTCAACAGCTTTCTCAGAAAAGCAAGCCAGAGCATCTTTCTGTGATTTACGCCACATACCAAACTGCCACTCAACAAACTTAAGTTTTCTCCGTACCTTTGCAAGAACAGGAGGACTTCCCAGTACTGTCATCACGATTCAGAGGAAGCGTACAGTAGTTCTGAGAACCATCCTCTCCCCCATGCGCAAAAGCAATGTTAGTGTAGCAGGTGTGCAAACTCACCTCTCTCCTGCACAAAGTAGGCGAGGTAGAGATCCAGCTCTTTGACGGACACGCTGATGTGATGGGGCTGGACGCAGAGAATGGGATTGGAGCACTGGCCACCTTTGACCAGCCGTTCCCCGTCCGTGCTCTCCAGCGGGATGCCCTTGAACAGAATCACCATCACCAGGTCCAGACGCCAGACCTTATCCGCCTGACGCAGGCAATCTATGCGCCTCATCTTCCCCTTCTGGTCTGGGTTGGAGAGGACGCAACACGGAGGCTTCTTCCCTGTGATGGACAGCACAAAGTCCTCCCGACACTCCGGCCGGATGTCCTTGCGGAGCTTTGCGAGGAGGCGTGACGCCCACTTCTGTTTGACCTCGGGCTTCTCACCCAAGAGCTCGTCCTTGACGGCACGCTCCTCATCCTTGGTCATCCGCTTCTCGTGCTTTTTGAAATATTTGCGCTTGCGGGCCTGCAGGTTGAACCAGGTGTAGGCGAAGGCACGCACGTGCGGCAGCAGCGCCTCGATGAACGGATGGAATTCATCCTGGAAAAGAACAGGAAAAGGCGAGTTATTCATTGTGTTGTTTACTCGTGTTTTCTGACAAGCAAAAGCCACATCTGCAGTTCAATTCGAGTACAAAGAGGAAATGAATCATCTCGGCTCCTTTCTGTATTGACGCATTTATTGAAATGCGTTTTTTCCCTTTCGCTGTTGTTTACCAAAACAGAAAACGTAAATTCCAGATTTAATTTTGTCTTTAAAAAAAGTCTCAATGATATTCAACAACAGATTTCACAGTTAATTGTGTTGAAATTTCTATCGCACCCACCCACAGTCCATTGTTTCCATCTTTTGCCGAAGCCCCATGTGCAGTCATCATTCATCCAATTATGTTTTGTTGACTATTTTCACTTTCAGTGGTAAGTTTTCAACAACAACAACACACACAGATGTACCTCCCAGGCACGTCGCAGACCGCAGTCTCTTAACCGTTTAGTGCGGCATTCATTTGGTCTGACTAATTACTTCCATATTTGACCATTTCTAAACCCCTAAACTAGCACCAGACCGTGCTATAAATGTTACTAAAACCCCAACCGAACATTAAACATGCGCATCTATCAATTATCATTAACAAGACTCGAAGCTCTGTGCGCACTGCCGTGACCATTTGTGCATGTGTGTGCATAAAACAGTCATAATGAGAGCGCTGCTTTACAGTTCTGTGATAATCATCAGCCCCGAAAAATCCCCACATGCGAATGAAGCTGTTCAATAGGAGGGTTTTGCGCTTATGGCAAAGTAATGAAACTCAGAATCAAGCTGAATGATGTCAGCTGTTGCATCAATATAGCATGACATAGTTACCAGTGTGTCACTTCTGCTTAGGCACAATGCAACCACAGAGAGAGAAATGGCCAAGGGCTGCTTGGCCACAGTAATTCAAACAGAGAGAAATAAAGAAAAAAAGAAATCACAGCGCTCCCCGGTCTGGCTGTGCTGTGAGCACAGAGCAGGTTTTAAAGGAACATAATGAGACGCGACTTCGGCACGCTGTGGATCTCATGCGATAAGCCAGTTCTGCAGCTTACGGCAGCGAAAGAAAGGCTCTTATGCTGCTACAGCACAGCTGCTTCACAGAAACCATCTCCTGAAACACCAGAACATTTACCGTCTAAACCTAAAGCATCTCTTTCCTTAAACATCTACCTCAAGACACTCAAGATCTCAAATGGCAGGCCATGAGCCAAAAATAAACCTTAATTAGGCATGTTCTGATCTGTTCTGAAAAAAAAAACAATGCTCTATGCAAATAATAAATGCAACTAGTCAAAAGGATAGCATTTGAAAAATAGTACAATTGGACACAAATCATGACAACCAAGAACAATTCTACTTAAAGGGAAGGGATATACTCCACTTTTTTTTTGGAAATAAGCTCATTTTACAACTCCTACTGGTATTTAGAAGAATATCTGTAACCAGACTATATATCTACTATGGAAGTCTGTCTGGTTACTGATATTCTTCTAAATATCAGAAAATCGGCTGAATGCATTCGAAAACGGTAAAAATCAACTGTTTAACTCTGGGGGAGTTGTAAAATGAGCCTATTTCCAAAAAAAGTGGAGTATCCCTTTAAGATAAAAGAAAATACAACCCAGACTATGTTAATACACTTGCTTCAAGAGAAAAAAATGAATTATCATTATCATTATAATAATTATCATTATTTTAAATAATAATAGTTATAATAATTTCTTCCTTTTTCCATTGATGAATATAAATAAATAAAAATGTATTAACAATTTTACTTAATTTTGAAAGAGGATTTGAGAGACATTTCTGTTTATTGCTTTACCAATATATGTTGCCCCAAATATCATTGAATTTAATCCCACATGATAATTTGAGCAGAATATGGTTTCTTTAGTGCAACATTTTGAAAGGACCCAATTTGCATTTGTAACTTGGACATGGAGAGCTTCAGAGATTCAGACATGGAGAGCACAAAAACTGACTGCCCTGTCCTTGTGCTGCTTGCGCTCTAAAAACCTCTTTTAAGAGTGTTCTCACTGAGATGGGCTGAAAATAAAAACCATACTTAACATATTTTTTAAACCTAATAGCAACAGCAGGGCAAAATGTTTTTATTTCCAGCTATTTAAATTTTTGAACCGGGACAAGCTGAAACCAAACAGGGCGCAAAAATTGGAAGGCTGAGAGGCCTGTAATCAGCCGACTCTGAACCGACGGAACTGATACAGTTACTGAGTAAACTTTACAAAGATTTACAAAGAAAGAAAGAAGGAATGAATGAATATGGGAAGTTAAGGCTGACAAAAACCAGAGAACCAAGCTGTACAAACAGACACAAAATACGGTGTCCAAAAAAATGCTAAACCCTCGTCAGGTTCAACTGCATACGTTTAGAGAAACGGTAAGGTCGTTTTATTTAGCTTGTCTTAATGTCCAAAATAGTTTGACCCAAAATAGTTTTCCAAACTAAATTTGGATCCATTAAACAAATATTCAAATGGACATTCTGGCTTGAGAGAGCTCAGCGAAGTCTGGGCACAATTTACACCCAGTGACAATGGAAATTTCCAGGAAGGAAAAGCCAGGAGGAAATAGTGATTTCAGGAATAGAGGGTGATTAGAGATGGGCCTGTTTCCCTGCAAACATGTGTGAATGTATTTTCTTCTTTTTAGAGCTCCTTTCATTGCTCTTGCTTCAGCACCAACCACTCCAGCAAAAATAAACATTTGTTGGGCATTTTATCCTTTCCGCAGCCTTGGAAAAAGGCAGGTCAGATGAGGCCCAGATGAGGTAAGTGTGCATAGGACTGGGAAACTGAGTAATTTTTGCATCACGAGTGTTGCTAAACAGAATTGCAAACAGGTTTCCTGAACACAACCAAAATTATAAAATCACAGTACAACGAGGGACCACTTCTGCAATTAAAAATAAAAAAACTGAAGAAATATGTGTACAAATACATACCATGGTCTGAATACTCAATTCTGGTTGGCTGGAAGGTGTGCAATAAAACGGTTTAACGCTCAGGTAGTTCCAAGTCAATTTAATCAATAATTACCGTTCTATATTAAGTGCACGCAATCATACGTCACTCACACAGAGAGAGCAGAGATCGCGCTGCTCACGGCGCACACACAGAAACTTGTTATCAACGCTGCCCCGTGACTTTTATTACTAAAATAGCTTCGCTACTGAAATGCCACATTATAAGTTCCTACAATGAGGGGTTAACATTGCTGGTTTTAAAGTAATTAAACTCCTAGCTTCATTGTTAATAGAGAGAGAGAGACAGGTAATTCACGCACACACATCTCCTAAATTAAAACCAAACACTGAATAAAATTAAAATCTGATTAGATGAGTCACATTTAAAGCTGCTGTTAAAGTGATAACATATTAACATGTCACAATGCATCAGTTGAATTTTGTATTTATGTGGCAAGTTATACATGATTAGCTATATAAATCATAAAAGAAAGTTTTTAAACTACATATTAGGTTTCAAATAACTAGCCACAATGCACAGAAACCTCTTAATTAAAAGTTGTTCCTCTTCTTGACTATTTTGGTAGTAATTTTGTATTACTTTCTGTAACATCTGCAATAATACACATCACACAATATATACCATCACACGGCCAAGCTCTTGATAAGAATAAATGGTAAATGATGAGGAGAAACAACATCAGCTGAACTTGAACCTGTGTCACCCACATAAGCATCACATCTCAATGGATAAAAGGCCTGGAAATATTTTTAAAATCTCCGCTTTACTTATTTACAACACCAACATGAAGATTTTTAGTGGAGAACTGAGAAGCATATTGCATTTCTCTCCTTCCTTCTTTCCCTCTCTTCTGCCTACTCTGTCTTTTTCCATATTAGGCCTGGACGCGCTCCAACGGAATGCTCTGTTTTTACTACAATCAGTCTGAGAAGAGCGCTCTGACTGCATTTCGTGTGCACATTAAGGATGAGAATGTTATTGATAAACAAGGCTGATGAATGGCTTCATTATGGCAGATGAACTGAGCATCTTTGATCTGACGGAGGCTGATGGCAGGGCGGCTGTGATAGCATGAGGGAAACAGTGACCACTGGAGTGTCCTAAAAAAGCCAGGCCTACCGACGCAGCCGCTCTCGCTCTGTCAGCCGCACACACACACACACAGCTGTATTTATGCAGTAATTGAATCATTTTGTTATTGCGGAGCTCAGGGAAATGTGTTTTTATTCCTGTCCGTTGCTCGGATACCATCTTTATTATGTCTTAAACAGAGAATGTGATTTTTTTTTTCTTTTGCGCAAATCTTTTTCCAAGTACAGACAAAGAGAGAGAGAACGGGAATGAGAGAAGGAGTGGAGAAGTCCAAATGATGACAAAATTGGGGTGTTGCGGTCACACACACCCACACAAAGTGTTGCTATGGTCACTCTGCGTGTCACAAGCATGTGTCCCGGGCTGAGCTTTTCCCAGACAGTTTTACCTCAAATTACGTGGTCGGGGGAATTGAAGATTGACTATGATCCTGAAAAATTAGAAGATTTTCCAAGACACATCATTAGCAATAAAAATAACTGCTGCTTTTAAAACTACTATTTTAGTAAAACCATATGTAGCGATCAATTAAATAACGCTGTTTTCATACTTTGCTATGATTCACCTTTCACCTCGTGCAGAGAGCGGTGTGCCAAGGGAAAGAAAATGCCAGTAAGCCTTGAATTTTTGTAACACTGCAATTTACCCACAATGCCCTCTGAGCATTAACAGCAGACATTCACCCCCCCACCCTTCCTGCACTGTTGCATTGCTGTTGCCAAAAGCACTTTCTCTCTCTTTCTACTGACTGGCTGAGGAGTGGATCGTCTAGGATCTGGGTAATGGATTCAACTTCGACATTCTTTCAGAGACACAACAAAACAGGGATGAGTAGGCATGCTTCTGTTTGAATGAGACACATTTAGAATGAGACATTCTGGGTATTTCTTTGTCCTGCATCCT